ACTTGAGAGATCCATATCTTCAATATATATAAATAATCATAAGCTTGATATGTAGATATCACGAATTATGCATATTATTTAATTAACATAAAAGTACATATATTACACATTTATTTATGAGAACAGCATAAAGGGAAAGAAAGAAAAAGTACATTGTTAGTACCCAATTGTGATAGATTTTGATGATGCCACTATACTTAGCACGTGTACATTGTGTTTCAATATTGTTCGTGTGTTAGCATTCAAAATTATGTGACAAAATAAAATGTACAATTTTTGAGTTGAATTAAATATTACCGGAAAAGTTAAAATGCGATAAGGTAATTTTTATTTACCTTAATAGGATATTTAGATCCTACCGGTATATATTATTTTAGCTCAAAGATTAATTGTATGTCACATTTTAAAGAAAAGAAGCTCGGAAAATCAAAATACATTGAATGTAAATGATTGAAGACAAAAATAGACCGGCAATTAATACTACATTTGTACATTGGACCGGAGCATAGGACGCACACATGGGAATATATTCTGAAGAGATGCTTCAGCGGCTGAGATACTCAAGACAAAGAAATCGTCCCAAATAAATGCTCCAGCACAAGAAGACAAACGTACAATTCGTCCTTGCCAATTTTTCAACGTCAGAGATTAATTCATCCTAACCAACGGATGAGATTAATTCACAGGAGAAGCCTGTAAATATAGGCTGAAACGAAAGTTTCTAACCAAGCTTGAGAATTCTAAGTAGAGCAATATTTCATTGAACATTCACGAGACATCTAGCAAAAGAGAAAGTGTGAATCTATACTTTACTCTATGCTTAGACTCTTTCTTCACTAAACTTCTTAGTCACAAGTGTTCATTGCTAAATTCGAGAAGTTTAGTTCCTAGTTGGAGGTTAGAACTTTCTTGTAATCAAATCACAAATTGTTGTAAACACTTAGGAGAACAGTTGTTCGGATCCTACAGTGTGGTGAGATAGATAGAGTACCTTTGATCCCCACTGGATCATTTGAGAAACGTCTAAGGACTGAGTAACTTTGAGTGGTGTTATACTCATTGTGAAAAACCTTCAATCTAGGCCTAAGTGTTGTAAAGGCTAGATTAACACTAAGTGTATTGGGTTAAATACTTTAGTGAAACCCATCTGAAATAGGGTGGGACAGGACGTAGGAGGATTACACCACCTCTGAACCAGGATATACTGTGTGTTGATTAACTTTCATTCAACAAAGCACACACTCAACACTTCTCACAAAAAGATTGGAGTTTGCCAGCAGCATCCTAAACAGTAGTCTTAATTGACCCTACTGCTTATCCTACTGTTTAATTACTTGCTTTCTTTGAGACAAGCTTTTCACAAAAACCTTGTAAACATCTCTACTACAAGTGTGTCCTGTTAGATTTCTGATTCACTAATCTTAAAGGTAGCAGTTGCCTCAGCAGTCCCCTGGTGACTACTCAACTGCTGAGCCCACTGCTCATATAAAAGTACTCCCTTGAAATCTCTGAAACTCCATCAGACCTTCACAACATTCCAAACAAGGAGTCTGTTCAAAATTAGTTTCTGAAACTTAAACCTAAACACAGCAGGTGCCTCAGCGGTTCCCTCACTATCACCCAACTGCCGAGACCACTGCTCCAGTAAGACTCCCACTCACTTACACAAAATCACATCTTCAGAAAGCCCTCATCACCCTGAGAAACACTACATAATTGATCTTCCCATACCTTCACTTTTACCTAAGCAGGTGCCTCAGCAGTTCCCTGGTTTCTACCCAACTGCTGAGACCACTGCTCTCATTAAGGTTGATTATCAATCTATCTTGTTACATCATCAGAAAGCTCTTCTCACTCTAAGAAAGATTCTGAGTACACTTTCATCATACACTAAGTTGTTATACACTACTTTCTAGCCAGCTCCCAAGCCAACTGTTCACCTTGCAAACCTCAAACTTCATCCATCATAGAAAGTTGTTATACACTATTTATCTAAGAGGTTAAAGACTTCCGTTGTGCATCTATAAATCTCCCAAAAGATTATAGATCAACTCAACTACAAGGGAAAAGTTTCTAAAGTCAAAAAGCTTTAAAAGTCTATTCACCCCCCTCCCCCCCTCTAGACTTTTACCTCTATCAGGGACCATCATACATAATACATGATAACATAAACTAATATTTTACAACGTGTAAAAGTCTTATAATTTATTTTGGGTTATTTTGATCAGTGGCAAAAGTGTCGTCCATTATGCTATCATCCATGAAGAAGTCGGACACATCAAATTTTGGTAGAGGTGGAGTCCTGTCATTGACATAATTAGCTCCACATTTTTGCCTTTGTTCAAATTCATGGAAGCTTGAAATAACTCCACTAGATGTTTAGCTGTACGACATTTATTGGCCCAGTGCCCTGTCATGCCACATTTATAACAAGTCAACTTTCTCGAGGATTTTGTAGGGGCGATTTATTTGTGGGCTTTTTGTTTGCCCTTACCCCTGTAATTTGGCCTTTCGACTCGTTTGTATTCTCGATGTGGCTTGTTATTATGACCATTAAAATGCCCACATTTAAAATGCCTTCTACTGCCACTGTGTGTTGCATTTGATTCAGTGGCTGAATTATGGCCAGGTGGACCATAAACCGAAGGACTAGAACCAGCGGGTCTTAGATTATGATTTTTCATCAAAAGATCATTATTTTGCCCAGCCACCAGTAATACTGATATTAAGTCGGAGTATGTTTTAAAACCATTTTCTCTATATTGCTGTTGGAGCAGCATGTCAGAGATATGCATCGTAGAAAAGGTTTTCTCCAACATATCAGCATCAGTGACTTTTTGTCCGCATAACTTTAGTTTAGATGTTATTTGGAACATTGCAGAATTATAGTCACTGATAGATTTAAAGTCCTGGAATCTTATATTGATCCAGTCATACCGAGCCTTTGGTAAAAGTACATTTTGTTGGTGGTCATACCTCTCATGTAAATTGTCCCATAACTCTTTTGGATCATCAACCAAAACATATTCAGATTTGAGACTTTCATGGAGGTGATGATGGAGGAAAATGATAGCTTTCACTTTGTCTTGGGAAGATGATAGATTATTGGCTTCAATTGTTTCTTCTAAACCATTAGCCTTAACATGTGTCAGAGCATCGACTTTACATTCTAAATATATTTGACCTGACAGATCAAGAACGTCGAATTCTCTTTTGCTTATATTTACCATGATATTACAAGAGTTATTAATACAAATTTGTTACTAAACATTTTAGAAAATATTATGAACTTTAGAATAGTCTGAATATAGGCAATAATGTACGTACTGTTTTTAACTAATTCTATGCATTCATTTGATTCAATATTATTAAAATTAAATGGGCATCGGTAGTGTTTAGATAAATTACGCTTCGTAGTATCAAGGATTTCTCAATTTCATTAAGTGCAACATTTAATTTAACTTTACTTTTAGAATTCAAAATAAGTTACCCAACGGTAGAGTTTGTTTTTATACTACCCGTCAGATTGTGATTATAGTCCAGTTTACAATCTCCCAACGTACCATCCGGTCGGTGTTGGTGGCCCTCAGGGATGGGTGTCATCCCTTTTTGTTTTTATACTACCCGTGACACAGATAAACTCATGCAGGCTGAGTACATCCTAACCAGTACCAACTGCATTAAGCTTTTATCTGTTTTTGTTTTGGCCGATAATAGACACAAAAGTAACCGAATAACAACAGCAATTCTTAAATTTATTACGTGGCCTGATTGCATGTTAATTGTCTGACCTTTATATGTCACATGTATCAATCCGTAGTAGTCTAGGTAGTATTTGAATAGTCTAGAACCCTAAAAGCAACACTCTAATTTTGTCATTATAATTTTAATTTATATTATCAAAGCATATTCGTGAGTTGCATTCATTTTAGTTCTGAACAACGGCAACAATAACTTCATTTTATATTCAGACTATTTCTCCTTTATCTCTTTACTCCGTTTACCCCTTTCACTATCTTTCTTTTGTATACTACTGCATTATTACGATACACAATCTTCTAATTTGTTTAACAAGTATGAAGTATATTTTCTCAAGTCATATAATTCTTCGGATACATCACTTTTAAAGACTGAACTATGTATCAAGATAGAAGAAGAAGGAAAAAGAATATCCTGAAATCTTGAAGCTAAGGTATGTATATTATTCATACTTTCTTTAATTCTTTTGGTATAATTATGATGTGTACGGTTTTATTTAACAAAAACAGAACTGAGCTTTCTTTCAAAGTTTGAATACTAAATCATTTATTGTGATTGCTAAAATAGATATTATTGTTAATACCTGCAGGAGATGATGGATTTCTTGAAGAGCTTTTGAGCATATTCGTGTTGATGATGTGTTGTGAAATGAAGGAGATAGAATATCAAATTTGAAAGATAAATATATTAATAATAAGCCATGAATATCTTCTTCTTGATATAAATTTTCTGAGTGAGTTTACAATGTCTCATCAAGCCCCTATTTATACTGGTTGAGCTTGATGATGAGTCACTCATGAGATGAATCTACAGATTTAGTGACAATAGCAATTTGAGCCATCTATTCTAACTAGGTTACAAGGATTAAACATAATTTCTGGATTGATGACAAGGATGAACAATTCACACATGTCATTTCCAGGATTTTACAACAGTCTCGATGTTTTCTTCTGGATGGGTGGGGCGGAACTCGGAAGTATAGGGCGTAGGGTTTTTGTAATACATGTAAAATGTAAAGTTTATTACACATGTAAAAGTAATGAGATCTTCATATGCAATGTCAATTACATTACGGTTTCAAATAAAATGGCATACCAAACATCATATTCGAATCATCATGTAATGCATCATCTTTATCTGCAAAAATCCTAGTGTGGTATATGATCGTTACATTCATTTTGATATACCACACTAGGATTACTTCTCCTCTCATTTTTTCATCCTTTAGAGTTTAAGATATATCAAAATTGAAAAATATTTTCTGAAAAATAGTACAACATGAAGACATTATTTTGGACGAGTAGAATATGAAGACATGGGAAAAGCAATCTACAATTTCATGATGTATATATAAGCAGGGCTATTTCTACAATACTGGCCCTGTGTCCACTACTAAATTTGGGATAGAAATAAGACAACATCATGTCGCTTTAAAACATTTACCCGTGAAAGGTGATGTAACATTTTATTCTACCACAAATTTTACCTGAGGGTGGACAGTTCACCATAGTTGAATGGATCGAAATTCATTTATATGGTATATATGTATATATGCATCTTAAACAGCTCCCAAACTGTCAAAATCAGTATCATCAACAGTGAGCCAGTCTCCCGACTCTTCACCTTCTGGTTCTTTATCTTTCCCACGGGAAGTGGACTGACCAGTGGTTTGTTGACCAGTCCAAACGTTGGAATTTTCGTTTAACTGAATCCATTCATGGGATTCGCTGGATGATGAAGCTTTCTTGCTGTGAGAAGCCATAGTTCCGGAATCTTTATCTGCAGAATCTGCATCATCATCATCCTCTAGATCACTAAATGAAACATCTTCTGCATCATCTTTGTTCCCCTGCTTAATATTCAGGTGAGTGATAGCTTCCACATCTAACACAGCACTACTAGGCTCAACTGTAGTATCTGTACTTGGCAGTTGGTTTTCCCCATCTGAATGTCTTTCCACGGTCTCAAGTTCATTTGTAGGCACAGACTCTGTATTTTTCTTACTTTGAAGCTGCTGCAGAAGCATCTCCCTGGCTTCAACAATCTGCAGAAAATAAAAAATCCACCAAAATTAGTATCTGTCAGTGTTCACTTCCTCACCAATTTACCCCCTTGTAATAGATGTTATCACAGTTTAGAAACGTGCTGAGACCAATAGAGGTTCTGCTACAAAGAAATATAAATTGATATCCAAACCAAGTGCAGTCAGAAAACACACGAGCAATATAAGAAGATGCATGAGAGGTCGAGTGGATAAAATAATGAAATGAGGAAAGCATTAATTTACATATAATTTCTTCTTCTATTGAGACAGAAAACAGATTCAACGCATCAAAGACCACAAAAGTCAACCAATGCACATTCTCAAAGGAGGTAGTCATAGAGACAAGTGGGTGAGAGCTTGAGCATAACATCATTAGCATTTAGTCAATCCAAGAGAAGGCTTGTGAGGTTAAATCAATCCAGTACAGAATACTGCATAGTCAATAAGATACGAAGGATTAAATCTATAAAGGACATTGGTTGCAAAGAATGGTCCTAACGCTTAAGGCGAGCAATTAGCTAAGGTGACCTAATACCAAGAGCAACAGATTGCTTACTAACAGTGACAGTGCGTTTCAAGAACAATCTCTAAAGATCAAGAAACTAGTTCTACAACTATGCCAAACATATAGAATTGCCAATCAGAGGTATGCTTTAAATTTTGTTGTATGAGATATTCATTATTTAAGTAGGAACAACCGAACAAGCATAGGGCATTACAATGACAGCAGGGAACATAGCAATACATACTTCATCCTTGTTGCTAGCAATTATTTCTTAGACAATGCAGGACTGCTTGTCATTGCTAGATTCCATGTTTCTGCCATTGAAAAAAAATAACGCTTTCCTTCTACATTTAACACCTTAACTCTCTGACTTTTAGAAGAGCATTCAAGAACGATAGACCAATGAGTTATATAGTCAGTATTATAAACGAATCCAGGAGACATGTTTGCATGCCACTGGACAAGAAGTACATTGTTGTGGCTACTGTCATTTGCTAACTTCAGAGAAGAGATGTACATATGCTGATATAGAACAAACTTCTATAACTACTACTCTGTATTTATCTGAGATACCCATACAACATGTTCTTATCCTACGATAAGATACTTGCAGAGGATTTGTTTAATAATTATAAGTGCTGTTCCAAAAGTCCATATTACTCATGATAGCCTATTATAATGGAAAATATTCATTGTCTGGCTATGTTTCAAAACAAGTTGCACATAAGAGGTAGTAAAAAAGAAGAAAAACATGTGCACAGATGTAAATGTGCATTTATGTGTTTGACGAGGGGTGGAGACTTGCCTCAGGACTTGAAAGGGTCTCTAAATCATTTTCGTCCAACCTAGGAAGCAATAGGATAAAATAAATCATCCAAAACTGCCCATCTGTTAAATGGTTGGAAAGTTTTTGCTTCAAGGACCCAAGACATGGAACCAATTGCTCAATATTCTCTACATGCTGCTTTTGGTTATCAGAGATATGAAAGTCTGCAGTAAATTCACATTTAACAGTTTCAGACACAAGTAGCCATGCGGGATAAATAAATAAATCAAGAAATGCAATGGAATATTCAGCATTGCTTTGCCAAAGCCACTTTCAGCATATGTAGCATGTCTTATCGGTGAATGGGGAGGATATGTTGTAATTCTATTCTGCAACCATCCCGAAAAGGTGTTTGTTTCTAACACTAAACAAATACTGGGAAAGAAAAGAAAAGGAAAAAATATTTAGGACAGAGTGCTTCTGTTTAAAACTAATTCACCCTTTTAGGACCATAGATGGGTGATTTCAATTATATATTACCCAAACAGATAACCATGGATAACAGGATAAGGGTAGTTTAATTCTGAAAAATGTTGAACCTATTTATATTTTAGACACGGGAGAGTAAATAAAAGTTGACATCACATTATCACAACTCTTTGTATGCAACAGCAAAAAAAACTTTTGGGACTTGGGTAACATAGTTAATGTATGTTTCCATGGAAATTGGAAGGACAACTTAAACCAAATTGACTAAACAAACTACAACATCAATATCAATTTGAAGTACACTATACCTGCATACGAGAAGAAAATGATTATGACTAAATATGCTTCATAGACCATGTACATACAATCTAACGTTCATACATCTCCCTTCCACTCACGAGATTTTCCCAAATATCATACAGCTTCTCGAAAAATCTCTTGCATACCAGCAACTGCACATTTACTTATCTATGATCGGGATAAAGTTGAAATATATTACTACTACGGATTTAAAATCCACTGAAACAATTTAACAAAGTCATAACTTCTGCAATTACACAGTAATATATAACCAAACATTGATCAATTAGTTTCAGCTCACCAAACCTTTCGTGCTTCATTCAAGCTTAGGTAAATTAATGAGTGAAGAATATAGATATTACCTTTAGGTAAGCTGATAGGAAAATCAGTCCACAGCTGGGGTCGTTCGGATATAGTTCTCACGAAGCCCACCACTTCATCGGTAATTCCAATCATGTCATCTTCTTCTTCCTCCTGCTCTTCCTCGAGCTCCCCTTTCACTGCATCGTCCTCAAACTTCAAAAAATTGGAGGCAAGCTTCGATATCTCAGAAACGGCCTTATTGGAGGAAAACAAAGAAAAGCTCGATTTGAAGCTTTCTCCGAGCTCGACCAAATCGTTCCTGATTCCGGCAATTGCCTGCGAACTATCTGCCACGAAACGGTCATCACTACCTTCCGCGGCGGAGGCAGAGTTCGCCGGTGGTGGAGCAAGGAAGGACGCTACGCCGCGGAAGAGGGCAGGAAGTTTTGGATCAGTTGCGGTGGGGTTGTCATCATCCTCGGGGGATTTGAAAGGGATGGGAAGCGAGAACCAAGATGACATTATTTTTCTTTTTAATTATTTGTTTTCCAGGACCGAGCATTTTAGGAAGACGTAAAAGCAAATACCGGAGTTCCTTAGACCAAACCGAGTGAACTATTTCTTTTTTCAATTTATTTGTGTTTTAAAATAGGTCTTTTCATCGTGATATTACTAAATTAAACTAGTTCGTATACCGTGCGATCATCTAAGGTTGTAAATGAATCAAATAATTTATGCTCGATTCGTGATTCGATTTTTGGATGAAATGTAAATACCATATAGAATCATCCAAAGTAGTTTTGTACATCATATACATAGAGACAAAATTGTAGGCTATCCCAAGCAATGATGCCCTATCACCTCAAAAAGAAAGATCTAATTCCTATGAAGCCCATAGCAAACAAAAATAAGTGACGGCTATAGTTTCAAAAAGTGATCATATGATATGGATAAATAGAACACAACACTTTGTACACCATGAACTTGATGTGAGTAATCATATCTTCCATCCTGCATGTAGCTCTATCAAAACGTAAGGAAATCTGTATCCTCCATATCCAATACGTAGTAAAACAAAAGGCTATATGTGTGGCTTTAGCTCTAATGTATGCTCCATTGCATTCTTTCTGAATCCACTTCACAGCACTCATTAGCGATGTCATTTGCCTTTTCATTTCGAGCCATTCTCTCACTGCTTTCCAAACCTGCCCTGTATTACAAACATTAACCAAATCAAGGTATCAGAAGTTGCTAGCCTATTACGAAAGGCAAGCCACACGATAAACGGGAACTTGGGAGGGACCTGCGGTTTCCAAATGAACGACATCCAAGCATGAGTAGTCCCGTTAATTCTTAATAAATCATATACCTTGGAAGAAGAGAGTTTACCATTAAAAGAGCATTTTACGAGGTAAGTTAGGGCTACGGGTAAGGAGGGGAATTTAGAGACAATGGTCTCTAATAAGCACCAACCTTTTCATGAGTTGTGAATCCCTAGTGTGTGGAACAAATGTCCACACATCTCTTCCATGAAGATAAACCCCATGGACCCACCGAACCCAAAGAGTGTCTTGTTTTGAATGTATATTCCACAAAGTCTGATAAACACTAGTTGTTAGTGCCTAAGTATACATTTTTATTATTGTTTGTAATGTTTATTTATTAGTTTTGTGCAAAGTTGTAGTTGTTAGTTTGCATTTGATTGTAATCATATTTCTAGCATTTTATTGTTTGTTGTAAGTTGTAGCTAGTTGGGCTATAAGTTTAGGATAGGTTTGGAAGCAAAAAGGATGAAGAATCCTGAGTTTTGTGCAAAACTCGGTCGGGTATGGCCTTTACCCGGTCGGGTATGAAGTGAAAGAGGAAGCTTCTGGGAAATTATATCAAATACCTGGTCGGGTATTCCATATACCCGGTCGGGTATGAAGTGATTTCGGACAGAAAGACGTGCAAAATAACACAAAAACGTGAGAAAAAGATTCGATTTGACAAATACCCGGTCGGGTATTTCAAATACCCGGCCAGGTATCCGGCCATAGGTGTTGAAAACACCTATAAATAACCCCATTTTTCTTTACTTTTCATCATCCCTTCTTCCATACTCTTAAACTCAGTTTAGAATAACATTTCTTTATATTTATCTAGCTATGTTTAGTCTCCAAATGAGGAGCTAAACTTCCATTTCTTGGTGTTGCTCTTGAAGCTTGTTGATTGTTAAAGTTGTGAATTATTTTCTTAACTTCTTCCCTTGAATATTAATTATTAGTTCTTTCCTTAATACTATCTCTATATTAATGTTGGAGAGTGTTGTTAAGATGACAATTAGCTAACATTTTGACATTAGTTATAGTAGTATTTTCTTCCTCTATATTTTTTTTTGGATGAACCGTAAGTATATATAAATGGACAATCCAGAGTTTAAAGACTATACAACAAAAAGGGTGATCAAAAATGTAGGCTATCCAAAGAATGGATAACCCATCACCTCCAAAACCATAGATGCTAAACTAGCAACCTAGGCTATCTATGCAAAGCCTGAGCTAACAGACAGCCCCAAAACATAAACACCTTGGTAATGGGCAGTAAAGTTTATCAAAAAACCACCAACTCATGTGGGTAGATACTATACAAAACTTTGTACACAATGTACTTGATTCGAGCAAAAACATCTTCTTCAATGGGGGACACCCCATCAAACCTGGCAGCATTCCTTATCCGCCAAATCCAGTAGATAGTAAAGCAAAATGCAATCCTTGACGCCTTGGCTTGAATGGTGGCTCAACTTCTTTCCTTTTTGATCCATTTGACAGAGCTAGCGAGAGTCCCCATCCTCCTCGGTATGTGAAGCCATTCCTTGACCATGCTCCATATCTTTCCTGAAAAAGGGCATTCAAAGTATAGGTGTGGGACAGATTCTTGCCCACCCTTGCACAAAATACATCGATTAACTACATCCAATCTAAGTAGATTGTCATATGTGGCTAACCTACTCCGAAATGCCAACCAAGTAGTAAAGGAAAACTTGGGAGGAATATAGTTTTTCCAAATAAAGGACATCCAAGACCGAGAGGGTGACTTTACCCTAAGTAAGTCATATACTTTAGAAGATGATAATTTTCCATTAATTTGGAAAGCGGTCAGCCCTTGAATAGCATTATCAATAGTGCTAAATTTGAAAACAAGTTCATCACGGATCATAGCAATTTTCTTCCTCTATATTAATGTTGGGGAGTGTTGCTAAGATGACAATTAGTTAACATCTTGATGTTAATTATAGTAGGATTCATCTTCTTTAATAATATTCTTCCTTGAATATTAATTAATTCCTATTCATATTTCATATTAATATTTTGAACATTACTTAAAGGATCAACTAGTTTTGTTTCATATATTAATTATTACTAGAAACGATCGACGAACCGATAGTTAATCGTTGATGGTTTCACAAGTAAGTAACTTCGGTTTATTAATGCACGGTCATAGTTAATAAACTTAGGAGGGATTAATTTTGTTGGTTAAACCGAGACCGTTGTGTTGAGGTTATCAATCTCAATTGATTTCATCAAGGAGTTAAGAGATTAAATGCTACTATCAAGTCGGTATTTGGCGTTGTTCTATACTTGACTAATAGTAAGAGTTATTAATGAACGGTTGTTGTTAATAACTACCCTCGATGAATTGGATATACTCCTCGATTGAGTATTCGAGAGGGAATAAGTTATAGATATAACAATGATCGACTAAAATATATCAACAAGTGGAAAGTAGCAATGCCAAGTCCTTTTTATTTTTGAATTAAACACATATAGGTTGTTCATCTTAGTTTCTTAATTAAATTAAATCATTCAAAACCAAAACCCCCCTTTTAATTACTAGTTTCATAAAAAGAGAATTATTCCTTTCCCTGTGGATACGAACTCTACTACGCTATACTACGTATAAGTGTTTAGTATTGAATTTATTTTGACGCACCGTGACAAAGTGCCCGTCAAAGTCCTAGATAAAAGAGCATTATTCCAAACCTTAGAATCTTTAATACCCAATCCCCCTTCTTGTTTTGGTAAACAAATATCTTCTCAAGCCACTTTAGCATGTTTGCCCCCCTCCCCCCCTCCACAAAAAGATACGGCATAGGCCAACAATTTTATCTAATATGGTCCTAGGAATAGGGAAGATTCCAAGCCAAAAAGATTGGACTCCTTGCATAGCTGTTTTTATCAACTCAACCTTTCCTGCATAAGATAATGTTTTAGTGTTCCATGCATTAATACGTTTTGTGACCGTATCTATCAAAGGAGGGAATTGGGCCACAGAAACCTTTAAAGGGGCCAATGGAATCCCTAAATATTTTACAGGATAGGATCCTTGTTGAAAGTCTGCCATCTGCATAATGAACGGCAATTGATTAACCACATTTGCCCAAAAAAAGATGTTAGACTTTCTCATGATTTACCATGAGTCCAGATGCTCGCCCAAACTCAAGTAAAGTATCAATTAGGATCTTATGGATTTATAATCCCCCATTGATAAAAGCATTAAATCATCTGCATAAGCTAAGTGAGACATCTTTAGTTGGGAGCATGATGGGTGATATTGGAATATAGGATTTGATGTCCTTTGATCCATCATCCTTGAAAAATACTCCAAACATAAAACAAAAAGTAAAGGAGACATAGGGTCCCCTTGCTTAAGTCCTCTTTTTCCTTCAAACCATCCATGTAGGACCCCATTTATGGATATGGAAAAGGAGGATGTGGTGACATGTTCCATAATCCATCCCCACAAACATGTTAGGAAGTTCAATTTGCCTAAGCACCATTTCAAGGAATTCCCATTAAACAGTATCGTATGCTTTCCTAAGGTCAATCTTTATCATACATCTATGAGTTACCTTTTTCCTAACATATCCCCTAAATAACTCTTGTGTTAAGAAGATGTTGTGAGACATCAACCTCCCATCCACAAAAGCTCCTTGTGAGGGGTGAACAATGTTAGAAAGACAAGGTCCCAACCTAGATGCTAAAATTTTAGTGATTATTTTGTAAGTCACATTTATACATGAGATTGGCCGAAAGTCAGAAACAGTAATGGAGTGATTTGTCTTTGGGATTAATGCTACCACGGTATGGTTAACCTGTTTAAGCATAGTCCCAGAAACAAAAAACTCCCAAACAGCAGCACACACATCATCACCAACTATACTCCAATTAGTTTTGAAGAAAGCTGATGAATAGGTCGTGGGGCCTTATCATTGCCGATATTAAACAAAGATTGTTTTATTTCCAAGTCAGTAACAGGTCTAATAAGGTCATCAATGGTAGAATGATCAATAAGATTTCCTGAAGTCATTACATTTGTATTAAATCTAATAGATTATACCTTTGTACCAAATAGGCCCTTAAAGAAAGCTATAAACTCGTTTGCAACTTGATCCATAGATTTGGTAAGACTTCCATCTTCCAATCTAAGGGAGGCAATGGAGTTTTGAGCATTCTTTTTTCTCACACTAGAATGGAAGTACTTGGTACATCTATCCAACTTAACCAAATGGAATGCCCTAGCCTTTTGTTTGAGATAGGCTTCCTCGGCCTCTTTAAGAAAG